GATCTGCACAGGGCAGGGCTGCACGGGGCTCTTCTTGGTGGAGGCTGGGCTCAGAGTGAGTGCTGGTAGCGCTGGGAGGATGCTGCATCCCTCCAGCACCACCAGCGCCCACTCCAAGCCCAGCCCCCACCAAGAAGAGCCCCGCACAGCCCCAGCTGTAGCCCACCCCATGCAAATCTGGGGATTGCAAGCAGTGGTGTCAACCCTCCCCAGGAGCCACGGCTCCGTCTCCCCCCTCCCACCTGGGCAACGTCTGCCCCTGCACCCTCCCTCACTGTAGGGGGCATTGATCTGTCCCCGCCATGCCCCTTCCCGCTCACCACACTGGACTTACCAGCTAGAGATACCTGTATCAGAAATCAGATTGGTATCAGCTGATATGCCTCCTTAAATATCGGCTATCACCATTGGCCTCAAAAATGTCTATCAGTGCACCCTTACTAACTGGTTGAACTGCTTGCTGAAAACATTTTAGGAAGTATCAAGAGCCTCACAACAGAAGATTCACTGTGCACCTGCATCTGCACAATCCCCTGGTTGGTGTTAAGCCAGGAAGTCCTAAATGAATCCTAGACAAATTACAAAAAAATCATTTTCTGGGGTTAAATCTGAAATCACAAATCACTAAGCAACTGAAAGCCAGAGAAATTAATTCTGACACTCTATTGCTAATCTACTCTTACTTTACCTTTGAAGTGTGTATCTATTTGGTATGGGACGATCACATAAAAATTCTACATTTTAGGATAGATGCAAAACAGAGCTTCCACAGTATTGGTTAATAGATCCCCCACCTACATTAAGCAAATGTTTTCTTGTTCCCAAAGATGACAATAATATTAATACACATGCCGGAACATATATTAAAACAAGGAAAAGGGGAAAAACCTTGCTTGTGCACTCTCAGCAGTCTAACCACACACCTTGATTACTCAAACTTGTATAAACATTCACCTATCTTGCTGGAGCAGTGACAGCATATATTTGGCATTTTTTGTAACCACAGCACCCAGTTTAATCCTGACCACTTCTTCCTTCCTCAAACTTGTCTCCCACATATATCTTGATCCAATTACCATATTCTACAACAGCTACAATTTTTCCAAGCACCTACACAAGACTGAGTCACCTCTATGTTTAGGTCTACTGCCTACGCCAGACAGATTTAGATTAAAGCAACAGTACAAAATTTCCTCTTTCCTTTTTTTTTTTTTGGAATGATCTGCCAAGTGTTTACACAATATTTCCAAATCCTCTAAACTGCAGTTTTTCTAAAAATGGTTTCCAGTAACACAAACAAATATTTTTTTCTCTTGTCCTGTTAGCAGTAATTTTAAATTTTAATGATTGCATGGTCAAACCGACTCTACAACTCATAGGTCTGTAAGCACAATCAAACTCTGACCTATTTAGGGAAACATTTAAATAGACTTTATACTGGCTCTATGTTAAGTGAATAGAGATGATACAAGAAGCATCAGGAAAAAGAAAACACAAAGAAAGATTTGTGACTAAACTGTTGGAAATATATAGAATATATCTACTAGTTAAAGGATGAAAATCTGTTGGAATTGTAAGGTATATATAAAGACGGATGGCATAACAAATAAATGTAGAATACATTAACATTAAATACTATGAAATGATAAAAACAAACTGGCAATAATATAAAACTGTAACAATATAAATTCCTGTCGGTCACAGAGACCCAAGAAAAAAGGGCAAGTAACTCTCTAAATCTCTCATTCATTTTGTATGTTTTCTATTCCAGGCTTGCCAAATGAGTCATTTCAGTCCGTGGTGCTTGATCTTGCACAGCCTAAATTTTTGGAAATACCCCTTTGGGGCTACTACTATTGTTCTTCAGACTTCTTTAAAATATGGAATTCTAAAGACTTTAAAAGTTTTCAGCTGGACATAGTGTTGCTAGGTTTAGACTGAGAATAAAAAAAAACATCTAGTTGGTAGGTTAAAATAAGTTCAGTAGTTGAAATTATCCAAGACCATTCTCACACATAAGTTTGTAGATTACCATTTAGTTTCCCAAAATGTGCATCAATGCATCCAGGAAGAACTGCCTTAATAATCTTTTTTTTTTTTTTTTTTTTTTTTTTTTTTTTTCAAACTAGCCAAGGCCTGCAGAAGGCCCATTTTAAAAACTGGCAAACACAAAATACCAAATATGTTGAAAGTTGCCAAGACTGAAAGTTTTAATAGTGACTCCACTGTTCTTTCTAGCTGAACAAAGTTTTGTAGTCCATCAACTGACCTTTGGGTAATACTTCAGAGACTGAATAATTGTATAACTATGGGAATGCATGATAATGTAAATTACAAACTACCCACAATATTTAACAAAAGAGTTAGCAGAACACCACCATGAGGCTACTTCTGAGAGACAGAAAAAACACACTGGAAAAATCGTTTTAATTTATTAGCTCCTAAATGTTAGACAACCAAGACACTGTCTTTTACCTCTGACAGTTCTAACACTCATTTAACAGACAACCTTGTCATTTTTCCAGGTTTACACAAACTTTTAAGGTTATGCTACAGTCACTGCTGTGACTGAGGCTCATGCAGGCATCCCTGTACCAGCTGTGAACTAACTAGCCCAAGAACCAACAGTAGTAGCCATAGCAGCACAGAATGCAGGGCAGGCTGTAAAACACACTCAAGAAGCTGGGTAAAAACTCGGGCAGTTAAGCTCAAGTGGAGCCCCAGTCTGTCCCATTATAACAAGGGAGGCTATGTTGTTTGTTGTAATATTTATGGTTTAAATGTATTCATGCTGCAAGAATTTTGTATGCTTCAGGTTTCCCTGACTAGCTTGTACATGGGGAAAGAAAGATTAATGGAATCCCTGTTGGGTCCCAGAGTTGCCAGAGGTGAAGAGAGGCGCCTTCAGCAAAGAACTGAATAGCTCTGAATAGGAATTGTTGAAGTTTCAGGTGGGCTTGATACTCATTCCTGGAAGGAAACACTCCATGGGCATTAAGGGAAGGAGATCGAGATAAGCATCACACCTAAAAAGCAGGTGCTGGCCTATGAGCTACAGACAGTGTAAAGCAAGGGGATGGCACGCTACTTTGGTATACTTTGGACTGTGTGGACTGGGGAAGGAAGAGTACCCTTGAGGTATTTAGGGTTCTGTGCACTGGACTGGGGTTGGGGGAACTGCTTAACCCTTTTAAGGGGGCAGGAGATCTTCTTGTTGGGTGACCTATTCCTCAAATACCGAAGAGGATCTGGTTGCTTTGATGCTTAAAACCTGAAGTGCACTCCTCCTTTCCCTACTGAGAAAGGTAAAGTCCCTCTCCAAGAAGGTAAACTAGAAGGTAGTTCTCTGAGGAAGGGCTGCAAGAGAGCCAAGGAGGGTCAGCAACCAAATGGCCAAGGTCTCTGAGTTGGAAGGACTTAGGGCTCTCCCCTACTCTAGAAGCCATGCCTGGCCTGGAGTCAGGGGGACTCAGAGACCAGACAAAGCCAGAGATTAGGAGCAAGCACTCCCCTGGAGGAATCTGACACACAGGCATAAGAGGTTTTTCACCATCCTATCAGATTACATTCCAGCTACATAAACTAGTACAGCATAGAACCAGCATGGCACCTCTAGCTGCTAAGGTAAAACAGAAGATGGATCAATCAGACTTAAAAAGATAAAGTAAAACAGGAAAGTTTCAGAGAAGGTCAGTGTCTCTACAGTGTCTGACACTGGCAAACTAAATCAGAACAACATGGAAATTCTTCTGCTGCCAACAAACAAAAAAAACAGGGGAATCAAGGAAGACAACTACCTTTCTACAGCTATTCATCCAGAAGCAAGTTTCTTACCTGCATGAGGTCCTGCCTTTCTTTTTCACCCATACATATAGCTTTCTTTATGCTTCGGAGTTCATTCATTATAGCTTGAGCTTCATCCAGTTTATAGTTTGTATGAGCACTTGACATCTTCCGATCAATTCTATTAACAAAAGGTAGTCAAATTCATAAGTTAATTACACAACTACCCCTAAAAAAATAAAAAGAATACTCAGGCTATATTTCCTACTCTTGCTAAATGTGTCCCTTTATTTGTATGAATAAAATGATACATTGCTTTGAACTAGCAAAACATTCAATATTCAAAACAGGAAAGGTAGGCACATAATCAAGTTATCATGAGGTAAGCCAGTTTATTGCCCATGTGCAGGCTCTGACCCTGCAGCAAATGCGGGATGCAAGTGTAATGATAAATTACCCTGCATTTACCACAGTGTTAAGAGCGGGTATCAAGGCAGGTACCACAGAAGAACTGACATGGTATAAGTTCATATACTAGTTTCTCCCAGTGACTTGTTTGGATGCCTATACACTAAGAACTATAAAACTGACAATAAAACGGGTTCTCCAGAACTGACAAGTTTCAGGATTTTAATCTGCTGATACAGAGCTCATCCAACATAAACATGAACTTTAACCAGTACGTGGATGTAATAAAAATAGCCTTAACTTTAAAACCAACTTAGATAACAATATCACAAATGGTAAAGGCGAATTAGGGGGCAGTGTCAACTAGACAAATGTAGCATTGCTTTTAACAACAAATTTTTAGGACTCTGTTCTTATCTTAGAAGCTTCTAGTGAAGGGACTCTCAGTTTTCCTAGGAAAATATTTCTGTAGTCTGAAGTGTTATTGTTAGGAAGCTCTCATATATATCCAGCTTAAAACCAGCACCATCAGGGCATTCTTTCTGTTAGATATCAATGTCCATGACAAAAATGCCTTTTCTCCATTAACATACAGATCTCAATGCTAGTCTGAAACCAGATGACTGTCCCAGGATATTTCAAGATCATCTAACGTATTTCGGGTCTGGAATTCGGAAAGCGAAAGTTGCATCCTATATCAAGATCAGATAATATTTCTCTCCAACTTAAAAAGAGTAGTTAGCTCAATTTCCTTCAAGTGGAAATCTATTTATAGATGGCTCACCTTGATGCCTCAGAGCCAATGCAGAGGGATTTAGGTGCTCCATGTCTAAAACCACAGTCAGCTTGACAGCATACCTGAAGGCCTGTTACCAGCAAACACTGAGAAAAGCACTTAGAAACTACTAATTGTAATGATATTGCAAGTCTCACTATATCTGGTGTTTCTTCCTAATAGCCCCAGCTCCAGAAGTCATAAAAATAAGAATCTCAGCTTCTGTTTTAAAAAGTTTAACATCCACTTTCTCGATTGTCAGGAAAGTGAAAAGTATGAGTTTTTAAACTACAAACAATAAAAAGCACTCAAAAGTTATCATGCTTAATGGTTATTCACTCACTGAATGTTAAGGATTGGAAGCACTGGTTTAAGGTTCTGACATGATTAGACTAAATGACATTAGACTAAATGACAGAAGGAAAATGACTATGTTCAGTAAGAAAAGATATAGCTCTCACAATTCAGTTTGATTTTTTCTACCTTTCTGCTACTACGGCAGTCCAAGTGACCTATGTCAATAATTTCTACTTGGAGCAGCTATATCTTCCCAAAGAGGGAATGCATCATAAGTTGGAAACTTATATCGTCTTATTTTCTTGTATATAGCCTACACATTTTTCAAAAAAACCATATGGTGAAATTTGGAGCTTACATCATACATGAGAAAACTGGATTTCCACAGGTGGATGACTTTGCCCCATGGGTCAGATATGGTCAGTGCCCAGGGCTGGTCAACGACCAGGGCCAGTGCACAGGGTCAGCATGTAGGATATAAGGCAAGGGACTGAATGGAGACAGAATAATCTCATGGCCATTTCATAGATGGTCACAGTGTTTCTCATTTTCTTGATGTTTGATCTGAGGAAGCACTAAGGACACACAACTGCAACCAGAGTCAGTGGAGACTGTTTTCAATGAATAAAATCTTATATACAATGCTCTGAAAAGTTAAGTCCTAGACATTTTAAGTTAAGCATATAAAATTAATGGAAACTTCAGTCTTTAATCTCTGTGCCAGAGTTCTCTACCTGGGAATAAATGGGGATAACACTAGTCCAATGTATGTCGCTGGAAGGCTATGAAGATAAACCAAATTAATACTGCTGAATGTCACAGAAGAGGCTATGAAAAAAATTAGTAATTTTGTCTCCATAGCTGGGTTTGAATAATGTGTAATAAACAAGATGCTGGGCTGTATTAAAACAATGAGGAGAAAGTGACCTCCATCCCCCATGCTGTGTACTGTATGTAGTCATCATCATTGGCAATCCTTTCCAGTCAAGGATGATTGTCTTCCATGACTGTCTTACTTGTGGGTTTGAAGACGGCTGACAATGCCAATCCGGGATTCACAGGTTCTACTGAAACTCAGGCACGTTTCCACGGGTGATTCTGAATTCTAGGTTGGTCCGTGACACAATTTCTGCCACTCCAACTGTTCCTTCTTCTGTTGTTGCTGCAAGGCTTCAAAGTACTGAGATTCTTGCAACAGACTCTTCCTCCATTTGGGCAGCCCCGAATGATAGTCTCCCAACACTTGATGGTGATGTTGCATTTTTTCAAGTTAGCCTTGAGGATGTCCTTGAAGCACTTTCTCTGCCCTCCTCTTGAGCTTCCACCTTGACTAAGCTGGGAAAATAAAACTTGCTTTGGAAGTCTGGAGTCAGATATCTAGATGAGGCAGAGAGCCAAGAGAAGTTGATGTCAGATGATCATTGCCTCTATGCTTGTAGCATTTGCTTGCAAGATGATGCTAATGTTGGTACATCTGTCTTCCCACTGGATTCAAAGGCTCTTTCACAGGTATCGTTGATGGTACTTCTCCACCAACCTGAGGTATCTCTTGTCCATTGTCCACGTCAGCTCTGTACAGCAAGGGAGAGATCACAACTACTTGATAAACCATGAGCTTGTTTTTGAATCTGATATTGTGATCTTCAAACACCCATTTCCTCTGGCATCTGAAGGCTGGACTTGCACATTTGAAGCAATGTTGGATTTCTTTGTCAATGTCAGCCTTCTGCAAGAGATGGCTTCCAAGGTACAGGAAATACTCAACATTGTCCAGATTCCCACCGTGAATCTGAATTACTGAAGCTAGGGACTGCTCATTAGGAGTTTGTTGGTGGAGGACCTCAGTCTTCTGAATGTTAAGCATCAGTCCCATTTTCTTGTATGCCTTGGTAAAGATGCCCATAGTTGCCTAAAGATTTACTTCTGAGTGAGTATATGTTACAGCATCACTAGTGTACTGGAGCTCAATGACTGAGGTCAGGGTGGTCTTGGTTTTGGCTCAGAGTTGGCTGAGATTAAACAGTTTACCCTCCATTTGCTAATTTAGCTCCACTCGTACTGGAGGTTTGTTGATGGTCAGATGTAGCATCACAGTAGAGAATATTGACTAGAGTATTGGAACGATGATGCAGCCCTGCTTAACTCCAGTCCTAACTTCAAAAAGATTTGTGATAAATCAATTACTGAGAACCACCACTGGCACAGTCACAGAGCAGGTAACACATGGTAATGAATTTTGGAGGGCATTCATACCTCAGAAGGATCCTCCACAGCACTTCTTGGCTGACAAAGTTGAAGACTTTCATGAAGTCAAAGGCCATATAGAGAGGTTTATATTGTACCCAGCATTTCTCCTGCAGCTGGCAAGCTGTGAATATTCTGTCAGCTGTGCCTCTGATGCCCTAACCCACACTGAGATTCCAGGAGAAGCTCTTCAGCAAATGGAAGGAGACTATGCAGGAGGGTTCTTGTAGGTAGGGAGGTAGGTAGGTAATCCCTCTGTAATTCACAGTCAAACCTGAATCCTTTCTTGAATCCTGTCACGATCATGGTGTTCCTGAGATTATCTGGGATTTCATCATTCTAGATCCTTAAAATGAGGGCATGGATCTGTGATGCAAGTTCCTCTCCCCCCGATTGAAGATTTCAGCAGGGATTCCATCTACTCCAGATGCCATGTCATTCTTCATCTGCTTGATGGCTTTCCTCACCTCATCAAGGGTTGGAGAGATTCCAAGATAGTCTCTGACTGGGTGTTGTGGGATGGAGTTGAGAACACTCATCAACAACAGAGTCTTGACTGAAAATATCTTCAACATGCTCCTTTCAACAGGTGTTGATGGCTCCCCTTCTCTTGATCAGGTCTTCTCCTTAGGTCTCAAGGGGGTAAGCCAGAGATGGATTTGGTGGCACTAAAGAAACCACGCATATCATGGACATCAGCAAGTTGTTGAATCTTCTTTGCCTTGTCTTCTCACTGCCTGTTCTTCATATTGCAGGTCCTCTTTTGGGTCTTTGCCTTATTCTCTGCCTGTTGATGATTCAATTTCTTTTGCTTGGAATTGGTGGCATTCTGCCAAGCACAAAAGGCATGGAGCTTGCAGTTGATCAACTCTTGGATCTCCCAGTCATGTTCATCAAACCAGTTTTGGTGTTTCCTGGTAGAGAACCAAAGTGCCTCTTTGCAGGTGATGACAGTGGACTTTAAGGCACCTAAAGCGCTGCCAACATTCTCCCATTGTTGTTTTTCACTGAAGCACTGATGGAAAAGCTCTCACTCAATTGGGTCCTTAAGCCTTTCAACACTGAACTTCCGCTGATATTGCTTGTGCTGCAGCCATTGTGTGGGAGGCAGTTTGAGTGACATAATCAAGCAGATGAGTGGTGATCAGTCCAGCAATCATCAGCTACTAGCATTAGCTCAACTGATGCGGACATCTTTGCGATCCCAGGCAAGAGTGATAATGTAGTCAATCAAGCGCTAATGCTGAAATCACGGGGACTGCCATGATGTCTTGTACCTGTTTTTCTGGCAGAACAGGGTGTTGATGATTGTAAGTGCATGTTCCATGCATTTGGTCATTTTCTAATAGATTCCACAGATATTTGCTGGCATTAATGACATTCCAGAATCCTGGGTTCCATCCCAAGCTCAGAGGAAAGTCTTTCTAGCACAGACTCTCTTGCCCATTTCTCCCTTA